TTCCATCCCTAATAAATACCCTCCATCAGATAAAACTGTTGGTATGTACATTGATTAATGAGAATTTTCTGAAAAGGGGTATGAAGAAGTAAAACTTATTTTTCATCTTCCCTTTCCAACCAATTGCCCTTAAATTGACTTAAAGTCGAGGAGCCTTCCAGTAGTGATGGTGAAATGAAGCCTCATGAGGCATCGAACCGTTCGGACAAATTGCTTCAACGATCCCCACAGTTTATGAAGCTTCGTGTGAACATGTCTCCACCTACTGGTGGAGTGTAGAACTACAGTTAGTAATATAATATAATGTTTTTTTTTTCCCCAAGTTCCTTTGAAATTGTTAATTGTGTGTATAATAAAATCTTTTGTAAGTTTCACACAATCTTTTGTGTGTAAAATGTCTTAGAAGAGAACAATTTAGGGAGGCTGTTTTCTGCCATTTTAGTGAAATAATCTCAAGCAAACAGTGAAATTGCTTGTGAAAATGATGAGCAAAATAAAAGGTGTTAGTCATTTTTATTGAAACATAATAGTTTTTCCACAGTTTTTGATTTTAATCGGGTTGGAAGTTATGTGTTCAACCAATGCTTGTGCTAAACCAACCTCACCATCTCATAACATCACTACCTTCCAGTTAAACTTGTTTTTTGTCCAATATTCACTCACACACATACAAAAAAAGGTAATGGTGTTTTACTATAACTCTTGCAGGCACTGAATGATGCCAAACGGGAGCTCCGCTACCTATTAGTGTACCTGCATGGAGATGATCACCAGGACACTGATGAGTTTTGCCGGTATGATAATTATTCTGAAGTTGCTGATATCTGTAATTTTTTCTGATGGTTATAATCTCTAAAGTTTTGCCGTTTTTGTAAAAATAAGGAATTAATCATTTTGAAAACTAAGATATGCATACAAAATGTTGTTCCACTTAAGGTCTAAATGTTTTCTCTCTGATGTTTCTCTTAGCTCCACACTATGTTCGGAAGAGGTGATTACGTTTATCAACACCAGAATGCTCTTCTGGGCATGTTCAACCAGCAAACCAGAGGGTTACAGAGGTATGTCAGCACAGAGCCTTTATTGATAGAAGTCACTGAGTTCATGAAGCACAGATGAGGAAGAGTGGGAAACCTATCGTCATCTGAATATTTACAGTTATTAGAATTGCAAGGTTTTCTAATATCATTCAATTAAGTTATTATGGATTAATGTGGGACCATTATTTGATCCTATAAGAACCGGATCTCTGTTGTCCATTTCTATTTAAAGGAATCCACTGCTAGTTAAACATGATTTCATTTTCCTATTAACTTGGAAATTACCATTTATATTGCATCCATCCATTTTCCGTCAAGCGTATCCCAAGTGAGTTCATGAGGGGTGCTGGTGCCCATCTCCAGCTGTCTAGGGGTGAGAGGCGGGGTCCACCCTGGACAGGTCGCCAGGGCAACACAGAGACAAACAGAACAAACAACCATTAACACACACACTCACCCCTAAGGGGAATTTAGAGAAGCCAATTAACTGTCAAAACAGTGATGTTTTTGGACTGTGGGAGGAAGCCGTAGTACCCAGAGAGAACCCACGCATGCACAGGGAGAACATGCAAACTCCATGCAAAAAGACTCCGGTCCGGAAATCAAACCTGGAACCTTCTTGCTGCAAGCTAGCAGTGCTACCCACTGCTCCACTGAGCAGCGCACCATTTGTAACATGTAAATGTATGTATGCACCATTTGTGCTGCTTAAAAACATAATTATTATATTTTTCATCCATGGCGACCGCCGTTTTTTTGCCTGAGCAGTGCATGCTGGTTAGATGATGTGGTTAGGTCTGACTGGACTGCATAGCTCCCCATCTGGGTTAGCATCTCGTAGCAGGAGCTGCACAAATATCTTCTTCTTTAGCCAACTCCCTTTAATCCTCCTTATCTTCGTAACTTCTGTGATTTCTATGTTCTCATCGGTTCCATGGACTCCAGTTAAAAATGAAAAGGTTTTATTGTTACACATTAAGGATTTTTACCACTTGCCCTTTGGGCAAGTGACTTTCACATTTCATTTGCCCAGAAACAATTTTT